GGGGAGGGGGGAAGGGGGGAGCAGACAGCAAGGATGACTGTATAACTCCAGGGGAGCAAATAACAGAATTGTACGTGAATGGATATATTGGATTATGTAAGATACGACAAAGCAACAAACAAAAATAAAATTTAAAAATAGTATATAATAACAATAATAAGGGTTCCTGGGAGGTAGGGTAAGAGAGGGAGGTGATAAAGGGGAGCTGATATCAAAGCATTCAAGAATGAAGAAAATGTTTTGAAACTCATGGTGGTAGCAATAGCATGCTTTATCTAATTGGGTTATGTAATGTTATGAAATCTGTAAGAGCTCCCAACAAAATGATTTCCAAAAAAGTTGATGCATTTGAATTATGGTAGTTTTGAAAAACACTGAAAACACAATAGACTTCCAGAAAAATGAATGATATAAATGTAATGCTCTGATAAATACCATTTGATATTTTCTTGGAGGAAGAAGCAAGAAACACACTTGTAGTTGCAAAGCAGAAACACTGCCCAAGAAGCATTGGCGTCTGTGTCCTTTCAATAGCTCATTTATTAGCATACATAAAATAATACCCAGCACTGTGTTCCATGTAACAAACAATAAAAATGATATCCAATACACCAATTAAAACTTTTTGTTATATAAATATTAATATTTTTAGACTTTTGAGATCTTTGCTCATTAGAATTTTCTAAATTAACATCTTAGTATATTGACTATAAGCTAGATTGCATCTGCATACATGTCAAATATATTTTAATATTAAAGTTATACAGGCAAAACTTAGGAAATAACTACATAAATGTTATGTGGTTACAATTAACTTTATTAAATTCATTGCAATGTTTAATTTGTTGGACTTCTTTCACTTTTGTACATCATTTGAGACTGGAATTCTCATTGGTGGTTTACCAGGATGGGTGCAAGAGCACACCCTTAAACGTACGTCATGGCTCTCAGCATTGCTGATCTTCCTGGATGGATTTGCTGGATCAGCAAACGTGGATGCGCAAAATAGCTCTCTTAAAATGAATCATAGACATGATATCAGTATAATCCATTCCTGCCCAGTAGCCACTCCGTTGGATCCAATTGCATACTGGTTGAATACTGCTAGTTGTCACGTGTAAACCGGTTTGTCACGTGAATAATGTCGTGGTTGTTACAACTAACTACAGGGAGATTTTTAATGAAAATAACAAATTTCTGTTGAAACCCTGCACAAAAATATGAATAGGCAGTCATTTTGGTGTCACCCACTCTGATGATGCCACCCGGTGTGGTCTGTGCTTCCCAGAACCCATTACCGGAGACATTCTCTCCATTCTCAATTTCACTTGGCCAAGAGATCAAAGAATATTATAAATAAATTTTACTAAGCAAAGATCTCCAAATATCATGTCTAGTACATATGCATAAAAAACTGCATATGCATAAAAAAAATCTCAGCAAAAACTGGCATTAACCATGGCCACTTTAATTCTGCTGTACAATTCAAATTTGCAGAAACTGCTGTTGTATGTCATAAACCGTCAGCCAATGCAGCCCATAAACATGAAAACGCACCTTATATTTACTTAGTTTCCGCTTACTTTGCACCTCCCTCTGGAGAGATGGAGCTGTCTGCTTGAAGATGGTGGTTGACAGTGAGCAAAGGCGTAAGACCTGAACTCCTAATTTGTTACCCAGATCTCTTCAATAGGCATTCTTCTTCTCATGATCCAGCTCTTATAAACTCTGCTATCCATTGTTAAGTCTGTCACTGCTCCTAGGCTGTTACCGCTGCTGCTGTCCCCACTCCTTGACTACTAGCACCCACCAGGGCAGCCCTGTAGGACGTGTGTCTGTCCAGGGGTTCTTCCTGTGCTATATCCTCTTCTGCCTTCTTTTCTTGAAGAGAGACAGGACTGCGTAGGGTTCACCATTGCCCAGCTCATCCGACCCAGTTCCCCTCCTTGTCATCGATGTTGTTCAGCGAACGTGGAAGCGGATCCTCTGCGCAAGAGCCCTTTCTCTAGACATTCAACACCTTGTAAGCATCTCGGTTGTTCACCCGCAGCCTTTCCAACACCTTTATTGATTCCTCCACTGAGTATAAATGTCTCGACTAGGAAGGTTGACATCCCAGCAGTGTGAGCCACGTGGATGGTGCGTCTTACAATTTTGTCATGACTCAACACGGGTGTTTTTCTCACTATTCAAGTCCCCCACCCCACCCCACCCCCGGACATTGCAGATTGTATGTTTCTATATTCAATGTCTCCCCATGAATAGTTGATCGAGGAAATGAATGATGAAAACAGCTGGCTTAAGAGCAGCTTGATCGTTTTCTTACCTGTGTGAAATACAGTCCGTGTATTTCTGGACTCACTCCTGAAAGATTACTGCCTGTGAGGATATGGAAAATTGCCTTATTTTCCCCACATCTGACAACACCCCTCCGGAAGCATCATGGATCCCGGTGTTCTCAAAGCTAATTGCCAGTCCTTGAGCCCTTAGTGTTTAGTGCCATAAGACTGGCTTCTCCTCAAATCAGACGTTACTCTGTGTCAACATTCCCTACCAAAACCTGATGGAGCCGCACAGTAGACATGATGGAATTTCAGGTAGCGTCTGAACTGGTTTATGTTTTCCATGTTATACTCTCCCTACCATTTTTTAAATTGTCAGTTTCAAGCTTTAGTCAGAGCTTAAGTTCAGCTCTGCCGTCTGACACATCTCATGGATACATCTCCCACTCCACGTCTTAACTGGAAAGTCCCACACGGAGAGGACAGACGTCATTCCGCAGCAGCAGCTTCAAAGATCATTGCCCTTCCCCTGTATAAGACGTAGAAGGACAACTTGCTTGCAGTGACATTCTTTTCGATATTTATGAAGGGAAGAAGAGGATGGTAGGAATAGGAAGTATATATCATGGGGAAAAAATCAGGTCAGTATTTCAAAGAGGTTCATTTACAATTATTTTATTAAACAATCATCTTTTACATGTCATTAAACCTTACCCCTGAAGTACAAAAATCTTTTGAGGTATTAAAACTGAAGGAACATTTGCCCGTATTTTGTAAGGTTTTCACACTGTGGCTTCTCAACTATCCTGCGTGACTATATATAGTGGATACAACTGTAGGTTAAAAAGAATAAAGCTACATAAAACAAATTGGTGTATCTCAATATGATTCTTGTTCTCTCATTATAATAAAAAAGTGGCAAAATTAGTACAAATCCTAAGTTGTCTGTAAAAAGGTCTTTACTTGTAAAATAAAGTACAATCTTAAAATATAAAAATCAAACTAGCTTCAATGGAATAAATCAAATTCAACTTTTGACTTAATTCTTGGGTCAATGTCAATTCATTCAAATGTCTTAATACCTTGATCAAAATATTTTAATACTATCCATGTACATATAGGGTCATAAAAATTGTATGTTACTTTTTCTTTTGTTCTTATGATTTTGCTCTCTTAATTTGAAAGAAAACTTTTATAGCAGATGAACTCAAAATGACCTCTTAAAAATCATTTTAAAATAAAATATGTAAAGTGACTTTCTAATTGATTTAAATTTTTCTGTATTAAAGAAATTTTCCTGTAAATTTACAGATTCAATTTCCATTTAGCTGTGCCTACACTATAACATAGTGTGTTGAGGCAATTTCTCCTGAAATATTTGGGAAAAGTGAAGAAAAATTTTCTTTAATTTGTTGATTGATTTAATTATTAACTGCAGAATTTGGTGTCTCATTTTAAGCAAATCTAAAATTGCATAGTGATTTGCATGTGGTGGTATAAATTTAGCCCTTCCTAAAGTGTCACAAATATTGAATCAAAATTTGTTTCTACAGCAACTTTTACAATGATTGTGGAACTTCTAGTAGCTGTAAATGGTAATATTTAGTGCTTGAAATTGTGTTTTTTCATTATTCAGTTGTGTGAAAATGGTTGGGCAGGATCATGGAAAGTTGTGGGGGTTTGTGTGTGTGTTGAAGAACATGGACTGGTTAAAATTGGACTGACTTTGTTTTGTAAAACTGAAAAAAGATGGAACGCTCTTGGAGCTTAATAATATAGGGAAATATTGTCCATGACATGACAGTTAGGACACCCTGACTTTCTCTTTGTCCTAAAGGGAAAAGGAAACAGTGATGACAATGTCCTTTCCCCTCAACCACAGTTTGTCTCCCATGTAATGATTCCTGAATAAAGAATGATCTTTGCACAGTTGCCTCACTGCTGGAGGCACAGCTGTGATAGCAACTGAATTGTTTACCTGGGAGGAGAGTTAACATGTGGTGATGTTTTAACATGAGCCAGAGGAGAAAAGCGATCACAGTCATTTTTATCCAAATGAATAAGGATGTAGGGTTCACTTAGTAGCTTTTCAAAGTTAACATTTATTTCTGCCCAAATAGATGTTTCAGGTTAAAAACATTTCCCAAGAGTTTGTTTTAAATTAACGTCATCAGATATGGAAATCAGCCCAAACCACAGGAGGTCATTGAATAAGTAATTAAATTTCAGCAGTCCAAATTGGCCAATCCAATTAAAACAAATTCCCAAGTTAGAATTAGCTGGAATAAAACAGAAAACGACTTTTATTTTAGGAGGACATATGCAAATCAAAATGCCTTCCCATTGGGCTTTAATGCTTGGGGGTAGCATGTAGTACTTTTCTCCTAACCCACCTGTTGTCTCTTTAAACAACAATCAAAAGGAAATTCAAACTAAAGGAAATACAACTGATCCTGTAAGATCTAAGCACTGAATACCTTTTTTTAAACTTCTTGTTAGTAGTACCCATTTGGCGCCATACTATTGGGTCTGACCACCTACCCAAGTGATAATAGCAATACTATCAAAATGCCTTCACTGTTATCATGCGCATGAGACACTGTAAAATCTAACAAGTACACACATATCGAGACTGGCTGGCATTCAGATGAAACACTGACTGAGTGACGTACAAAATCGTCAGTGGGAGCTGCCCTGGAGAGCAAGAACATGCCATAATCACTCAAAGACTGGGTTTCTTACACCATTCAATACCAAGCTGGTGGGCCCCTTCCTGTGTAGAAGGGCCAAGGAGCAGAGAAGAAGAGAAAAGCTCATGACTCCCATGATGACCGTGCCCGATATCAGGGCACTGGTGATGGGATTCAGCTGGAAGGAAGTCTCCCTGGGGGAACCTGCAAGTGAGAAAAACAAGTGCTCTAAAGGCCCAATCTCCCGTGTCTCTCCCCGCATCACAATTTGTATCTGCCACGTGAAAATCATTTTACAATAAAGTAGGTAAATTGACTTTCTAATTGATTTAACTTTTTGTGTGTTAAAGACATTTGCCTGTGACATTTGCATCTGCCATCACTGTTTTGTAGAATTAGGCCCGCCACCTCGTTGTGATCTATCTTATTGGAATGCAGTCCTCTGAAAAAATGGATGGGCGAGACCTTTGTATGGTTGATAGCTATGATAGCCCATGGTTGTCATATAAATGTAAATAAATGAATAAATAAATAAATAAAATACATATGCATAGACCGCTATGAAAATTGACCAATGGACCACACTTGAATTTTAAAAATTCCCTGTCAGCTGTTATTTCATTGTACCATACCAAATGTATTACTAGGGCTCATTACATAAACTTGATTATAATTTTGTAACTGATCAACCAAAAATACTTTGAATGAACAGAAAATGATGTTTAATTTAATAATGTGTAAATTATCTTACCAAGTTGTGAATTGTTGGTTGGAGTTTCTTCTGTGTGGGGTGAAAAGGGGAGAAAAATGAACATGACATGGATCCTCCAAATATATATCTTTGTTTACTCTGTCTCTATGATTGCATTTACCTAAATGTCCCCTCCATCCCACAAAGCTCACAGGGGAGGCAATAATGAATGCCCTCTTCAACCTTTCTATTTTCCCGTTCTCTGTTTTGCCGGTCCTGGCCTCATCACCCTGCTGCTGTTCTGGGCATCCAAACACACTTGTCCAGTACTCTTTCCTGCCAACGTCGCCTCCGCGTGCTCGCTCCAGTCAGGCCAGGGGGTAGTAATTGTTAACAGCTATTGCATTTTTATGGACCCATAACATGCCATTTGTTATTCTGTTATAGGGAAATATTCATTAGTCAGTGCCACTGGATTTTAAGTGCTGCCAATTTGCCCATCCTCATCTGCAAAAGCATCATTTTAAGTTCCAGGAAGATGAATGTATACTTAATAACTAACTGGAATGAAAACATGACTCCTGAGCTAGGTTTCTTGTTTTAGTTGTTCGTGTAAAGGAAGAGATGAAGCAGTTGATTTTTTTTGTATTTTCCTAGCAACATAAAAATGGATACAATGAACATGTTAATTTGGTTTCTCATATTTTGTTGCCCATTTTGTAAGTTATAGTTATTAATCCTTTAGTTTGCAGAACAGTGGATTTCATATTTCCATATTTGTGTTTGACCATGAGTGTGAATATTGTGGACTAAATCATAAAGTGTGTACAGTTGACTAATTGGTTCTGGAATATAAAAAATGTATAATTAATATGTGTATGAAATTGTACTCACATATTATCACATGGAATCCTTATAGTAACCATATGGCTATTATATTATTGCTACCCCTATTTTACAGATAAAGGAATTTCCTTTGGTCACAATGTCCATAACAATGCACACATTTATGTAAACCAAAGTTTCTGACACTTTTTCTAAACAAAAATAGTCTAAGTTTAGAAAATGCTTTGATTATAGATATGAATATCTCAAGCTAGGCAAATTCACAATTAATATTTGATCCTAGTGAATTATTTGTAAAATGCTAGATGCATTTTTTTCTAGATCAATGTATCTTGGCAGAAATGCTGGTTCTGTTGTCTGATCCTGAAGGACAAAGCACCAAATTAACAATCAGTCAAAGAACTCTTTAGAATGGTGCAATGCATTACTGTAGGACAATAAGAAAACTAATGTGAAGTGTTTTATGAAACAGCCTTAGGAATGCCCTAAGCCCAATCATCATTACTTAATAAAGAAATGTCGTTCTTATGAACTGTAGTGAGATGAATGAACTGTGGCCCATCCATCCAGCACATGTGTGTGCCCGTCCTCAAGGCAGGCTGCCTCCCTAGACCCTGAAAGGAAAACCAATATCGCTCTAAAATTCATTGTTTAAAGTTATTATTTGCTTGGGAAGAATATTTATTTGAATTTTAAAAATTATTCTATTACAGAAAACCATAAGGATGTCACACTCTAGATGGACACTATCAAATAAATGAGGTCACCTACAAAAACGTTTCTGTAGAGCTCAACATGGGTAGAAAAAATTACCAACAGTAATGAAAAGGTATATGCAGAATGTTTTTTTCCCTTCTTTACCACAAATAAACTATTAAAAAATATACCCACCCTTACGTGCTAAAGTGGTTGGGAATAGCCTGGTTTCCCACAAGGAGTATTAGAGATATGATTATAGTAGATTAAAATGACAAATCTGTCTTGAATGGTTAGAACCTTGTCATGTGATCTCCCGTTGGATACACTTCGAGTTTATTTTTTAATATCTTCTGTGCCTTGTTTTTCATATTAGGGCTTATCTCTGGGTTTTATTATCATTGGTAGCATTCGTGATTCGTTGTTCTGTATCTTCCTATGTTTGTCAGTATAGGAAAGAGGTCAGTGAATCTAAAGAGACAGTAACGGGAATAAGGGTTCCTGTGGGGTGTGGCAGGAAGGGAATGGGTAACAGGGAGCCGGTATCAAAGAGCACAGGAAGGAAGAAAATGTTTTGAAAATGATTGTGGTATTGATTGTACAACACGATTTGATATGACTGACCTATGGAATGATATATATATATGTCTGGATTATATCCTAATAAAATCATTTGGTGATATGAATATATATATATATACACATACATGTATGTGTATATATAGATAGATGTATATACATAGAGATATATATCCAGGCATTCTATTTTCTATTTGCATTTGCTGTTTGTTAATAGTCTTTCTTTTTCACTGAACTCTAAGATCTCTGAGGCAAAAACCTTGACCTTTCCCACTAGTGGAATGCCTCTCCCCAGAGGGGCTAAATAAGTATGTTTAATGTATTACTGATTATTCATAAAGGTCAATGATGTTGGCATGGGTTGGGTTTCTCCATAGGATGCAAACAAAACAATTCTGTGCCGTTGCTTTTTCAGTGTTTGCACATTAAATTTCCAGAATTATACCCCATGATAAGCATTTCCCAACAAAGTGGTTTTAGCACTCCCTTTAGTATTTTGAATTCTGAATTCACAATATTTGAGGAATATTGAGGGTTTCAGACTGGTCTAATTTCAAGCTTAATTTATTTTTGCCTCAAAGCTATGTGATATTTGGAAACTTTCCTCTCTTTCCTCATTGACTCAACTCTTTGCCCGTGAACATCCAACTTCTGTCAAGTCCAATAAGAAGTTGAACCTAGAAAAATCCGTTTCTCAGTTCTATCTTGTTTTTGCTGTTGTAGTTGTTTTGTGTGTTTAATGGCATTAAGTCTACTGTGGTTATTTTTGTCAATATTCCTTCATCCTCTTGTTAATTTTGATATAATTCTCACAACCCCAAATTCAAAATCTTGGATTTGGAGCTATGAAAATTATCACTACCACTGAGTCATTTTCAACTCATATCGACCCTAGAGGAGCTAAAATCCCCCTGTTGGTTTCTGAGACTGTAACTCATTAGGATAGCAGAACTCATCTTTCTCCTGAGAAGCAGCTGGAGGTTTAGAACTGCTGACCTTGCCATTAGCAGCCCAATACATAACCGCTATGCAACAGGCTCTATTATTTTGGATGTGTAGATATAAAATTTATCTCAAAATTATCTAACAAAAGAATTAAGAATGTTGGGGAAAATAATCAAATAGATTTAATTTCATTAAACACACAATGCAACTATAATAATAAAAACAAAACTAAACCAAAAGAAACATATTACTCTAGGTTGAATAATTTATTGAACTTGACCGAAACCCGATGTTCACAGGGGGAAAAAAAGGTGGGTCAATGAGTAAATAGAGCAAAGTTTCCAAATATCACAGAGCTTCCAGGCGAAAGCAAATCAAGCCTGAAATTAAACTGGTCTCTAGGAAATGCACATGTGCACCCAGAGACAGACACCCTCGCTGACCGGAGGCAAAAGCAAAGTGAAAATAAGAAAGGAGTGGAGCCCTGGCAATCAATCGGACATACGTTTACAAGATAATTGCTTGTGAATGGATATGATTTAACCAAATTCTGGACTTTTCATATTGCATTAAGTAGAACCAAATGAACTTGCCTGTTGTGTAGGTCAAAGCTGCTTAAATATCGGCAGTTTCCTTTGATTTTACATAGTACATTTGTCCTTGAACTCTCTCCTCCAAATTTCAAGTGGGAAAACTTGAATTAAAGTAATAATTTGATTAATGGTCAATATCAAGTACTATTTAAGACCGGGAGCCATTGGAAATGCTCTACAGATTATTTTAATTTTAACCCTAACAGAGCTTGTAGGTATTAGAACTGCTATTGCTCTCATTTTACAGCACAAGGAAGAGAGGCATGTCAAGCTATGGAAGTTGACACAATTTGTACCGATCATAAGTGGCATTGGGGTAATTTGAGCCGAGAAGACACTCGGTGTCAGTGAGATTTCCACTACACACACAGTTCCATCGTCGTCTAATTGCTGGGCCTCCAGCCCGGCACTAAGTGGCACTGAGACTGTTTCTTCCTCGGTGAACTGGAGGAAAGTGTTGCATTGCTAGAAAAAAGGAAGTGGACGTGCAGGGTACTAAGTATTATATGCACTTGACTTATAACCAAACAATTGGTGTTTGGAATCTACCGGCCACTCCTTGAAGTAAAAGTATAGTAGTCTGTTTCTGTAAAGATTTACAAACTTGGAAGCCAAGGGAGCAAGGCTATTCTGCCGGACAGGGCTGCTAAGAGGTGAAATCAATCAACTTGCTATCCATGAGCTTCATGTTGGCTTGAATAGCAAAAGGGTAGTGCCACAGTCAAATACTTTAGGAAAATCTAAGTTCAAAAAGGATAAATTGACTTTTATTAAAAACTTCAAGAATGCTGAGTACTACCTTTAACAAAACTTTACGCGGAAAATCTTTCTTTATCATATTTGTGTTATGGAATCTTTTTAAGAACATCTTGCAGAATTATTATATGGTAATATGGCTGTTGGCTGCACTGCTTGTGTTGTTTACCATTTGTATGGCTGTTGCTTGTATGTAAAGACAAAGAAAACAGATTCGAATCCGAGCGAGCTCTCTGATGAAGAACAATTTCTTTATTGACCTGTGC